GTCATCAACATTCTGGTTGGCTACTAGAGCCATCTACTGTTTGCTCTGTGGAAAGTATTTCTCTGAGCTTAAGAAATCAATGTCAGGGCTTTGTTTTAAGGAACTAAAATAAGCCAGAGAAATGAATGACTAACCAAATATCCAAATGTTGTCTCACATTTCTAAGCCCTGTAAGTTAGAAGGGATTATTTTATAAATTTTGGCAAATTCTCGGTGTTAGTGGATGTGTTTTCAGTTCTATTATTAGTTTTGTTAGCAGCTTTTTCTTTCTCTGTCAGAGACTGTGGAGGCCAGGTGTTCACAATGCAAAACCACAAGATGAAAGCAGCCTGGATTGCTGATCCAGTAATCTTGGAGAGTCATGCTATTGGCAATAACCTGTAGGTAGGAAATCAATTTCATGTATTGAGTTATGGAAAGTTAGGGGTGTGTTACCACAATAAAATGCAGATGATCCCAATAAGTACATGATGGTTCTTGCAATCAGTGTTTGACAATGTGTTTTCTCTGCTTTGGATGCCTTTCCAAGCACCTCCATTTCTTCACCAAAAATCTTTTACTGGATTCTTCTTGTTTATTCTATAGGGCTCAGCTAAGAAGTATTTATTTTGATAAACATACTTTGATTATTCCCCAGCCTCCATTCATGGTTAGTTATTTCTTCCAGATAGATGCCTTTTTAGTACTACTAATATATGAATGAATGATTCTCATGCGTTGATGAGATTATATTGTGGACGCATGTTACATAGATTTCCCTTTAGAATAGTTAGCATAGATCAACAGTTTTCAAAATGTGATCTACAGACCCCTAACAATCTCTGAGACCTTCAGGAGAAGTCAGTCAAATTAGACCCATGGTGCAAAAGCAGTAGTTGCTAAAATTGTAGGTACCCCTGCGAATTGAGGTACCGGTACTAAACTGTAGTAAGAATCTTATCATATTTTTCAATGCCACAAAATTACAAGAAAAACTCTAATATCATCAAGAATGCCCTGGATGAAATATCAAAAATAATAAACTGTATTAAATTTTGACCCTGAATACATGTCTTTGTAATATTGGGAACAACAAAATGAGAGTACATGTGAGCATGTGTGCTGCATGTTTGAATTAAAAACACAGTCCCAGGCAAAGTACTTGAGTGACTATATGATTTGCAAGCTGAAAGCAAAGTACCACTATTGTTATGGAAAAACCAGTAATGTACTTGAAAAGAATGACTGACAAGCTATGGTGATTTAGATTAGATATTCCACAGACATGTTTTGGAAAACGTATAGCAAACCCTTTACTAGGAGAACAATTGATAGCTAATGATAAACTTCAAGATTATTAAAATAGAATTTTGGTAAGCTTATTTGTGTCTGATACACTTTTACCAAGTTTGGGGAGAAAGGCTACCTCCAAAAAAGTGATGAGACTTTTAGTATTCCAGGTTCTCAGGTGCAGGAGAAGGTCCCCCACACTAGTCTTGCTGAACTGCTGCCCTATACCCACCTTCCTTACACTGAAGCACCAATTCTCTGCTTTCAGGCTGACACCCATCCCAGGAACTATACAGTTACAGGAGGATACTCACAACCTGTTTCATCAATAGAATAGAAAAGCATATAGATTTTTTAGTTGTAGTAAAATATTAAGAGGCTACTTATGCCATTAAAAAGTCAATTATCTTTTTAAAACTGTGATGTTATCAATCCTAGCAGGCTCATTTGTAATGGAAATTTCATAGCTTCATAAAATAGGCACTACCAATACAAAAGTGTTGAAAAGGGAAGCGAGGGGAAAAATAGAATAAGTATCCACCAGAATATGAATAAAAATAAAGGGATCCTTCTTCATCCTTCACAAACATTATTTCAAAGGATGCTGAAGGTTCAAGTCTCCTTTCCCGGAAAAGGAGTAGACTTTCCTAAAAGGAACTTGTGCTATAGATTCAGATTTGTTGTAGTTGTTGCTTTTTGTTTTAGTTTTTGACAGAATCCACATTCTTTGAGAAAAGGAGTAAATAAAAACATCCTTATATTATTCTAAGCAAAGTTCTAAAAGGTATCATTGGATTATAAAAGAGTAAACCAGTAAATGCAGCAAACATATTAGCAGAGTTAAAGAGAGATTTTGGATGTCTTGTTGTTGAGAATTGATGAATAAAAAAAATAGCAACTAAAAACTGAAGAGAAAAAGTCCAAAATAGGTCCAGCAGAAAAGGAATTGGATCTAGTGCTGGTTTTAATAGAAAATCAGAGTTATAGAACCTGCCCTCAATCCTTGGGGATATTGTCAAAGTCCTAGTGAATAATAAGGTCAAAAGAGGGCTGAGAATCAAATAAAAATGGTTACTTCAGCTATAAAAAAGAAAAATCACCAAGCCAATTACAATGCATGGTCACTCCACCAGCTCCCAGTGCTGTAGGAGAAGCATCTTTTCTAGGACTTAGAAAAAATTGAATTATCTACTAGACATCAAATTTTCAAACTTTTCAGACTCTGACCTCTCTCAAGTTTTATTTTTTCTGATACAAACTGAATGAATACTAAAAATGCCCTTTTAAGTTAATCATTGTTTTCCTTTACTTTATCTTAGAATCTTAAAATAGAACTATTAATATGTGAAACTAATAGGTATATTACCATAAATCTTTGAAGCTTCCTTTTATGGGTTGCATGCATTTTTTAATGCACATTTAATTTATTTATATGAAATATTTAAGAAAAATGTTTCTGGGCATATAGCTCAGTTGATAGAGTTCTTGCCTTGCATGTATAAGACCCTGGATTTGATCCCCAGCACACATACACACACACACACACACACACACACACACACACACACACACACAAGATAAATGTTTCTAATCAAAACTGTGCAAATTCCACTATTCAATATAATGACAATATCAAGACTTATTAAACATTTTATTCATATTGTTTCATTTTATGGATAAAGCAATCAAATTAGTAATGATTGTATTTTTTGACATTATTTACCAGTTTATTTAACTAAATAGAGTTCACTGTGAGTTATATCTTTTTTGTTGATGATATATTGTCTTTTTTGTTGATGATACATTAAAACATGTACAGAATTATCTATTTGTTTTGAATAATGTTTGAATAAACATAATACTAATTGTGGGAATTTGATTTTAATAAATAACTAACTAATGAAAATTTTATATACAAAACTGATGCCTCTGCATTGCTAATTTTCATCACAATGTCTGTCATTAACAAACTTTAACTAAATAAAATATAGAATATGGAGTGTTATACTTAAATTTGAAAAAGTTTATCTACTGGTTTCATAAAGCTCTTTGTTTTGAGTAAAAAAAAGGGAATACACAAATATTTATTTGTAGTAAATTGATTTTTAAACACAAAATAGAGATCTCCAAGATGAAAATATATATGGATTCAGATTTGTTGTAGTTGTTGATGTTTTAACACCCTCTAAAAAAGAACTAGTTTTTTTTATTCATATGTTTCTTGACTAGCTCCTTACTAGGACTCAATTTTTAACTCCAGTGTAACCTAAATTTTAAAAATAGCATTTTTTCATTTATTTAACATTTGCATCATGATAAATTAAAGCAATATAAAACCATGTTGTTTAAGAACTTCTCGGTATTCTCCATTTCCTTCATCACATGACTTTCAGTTACCATGACTTTTCTCTATCTGATATAAGATAACTAAAAATCACTTTTAAAAGTGAATTTACCAAACTTCAGGATAACTTCATTGTAAGGTTATATATGATATACAGTTATTCCACATTTTTGATAAAGCAAAACTTATAATTGGTAGTGTACAACTCAGTAAAATATTTTTTTGCAGAAAATTTAATAAAAGATTTCATTTTATATTTTTATATTCTAACCCATCGAAACTTAAATAAAATCTGAATACTCTGTAAGGATTCATGAAATCTTGAAATCAAGTTTATAATCAATATGGATAAAAAAAATTTATTCTTTCATAGTGAATGTTACAGACTGAAGTCACTTAACTTGTGAAGGCTATATGGTTCATAAAACAGAACTTATGTTCTATTCCAGAGACTGTGGGACTAAACCATGGTCAATAATGCATATTTCTACCCTACAGAACACCTACCTACAAACACAATAAGTAGATCTATCTCTTGAACTAACTTTCCTTCTCCCTTCAGTCTCTGAGCCCCCATCTTCTTCCCCGTGCCCTACTCTGCTTCCAGAATCATCTTCTTGGTCTTCTCAACATCCCTCTTTCAAGACCTACTAACACACACCATCTTTTTGTGGTTGGTTCCTTTGCTACAGACTAACCATGAGCTCACAGGTCAACTACAATTGTTGCATAAAGGCAGAGGCCGCTTTCAGCAACCTAGCCAATCTACACCTGCAGGTCTCCCTTGTCTTCCTCTCTTGGCCTCTATTCCCACCACGAACACTTGACACTGAAGGTGTGGGCTGCTTCTCCAAATTGATGAAGAAGTGCCAGGGCAGCCAGCATCTGTGAAAGAAGAAAAACCACACAGTGTCTTAGCCCTCTGCCAGGCGGACTGGTAGCCATTTGCAGGTGAATGGGACAATAGTCTGAATGATATGGGGAAGTCAGTTTGGGCCCTAGACATAATCCTGATATCAGACCCTGTTGGATCTGCACATCCTGGGCTCTGGGTCTACTGACCACCACCTTTATGGCTTCCTAGAGAACTACTTCCTAGACTGGAAGGGGAAATTCATCCTGAACCTGAGCAGCCATCTCACAGAACTCTGCAGACTGGAGGTGGCCAAGCTGAGCTAGGCCAGACTCATCTTGAAGCATGTGAGGAACACCCCCATCCTCCACTTCATCCTGTATGAAGAATGGAAGAAGAAAAGAGAGAAGAAGGAAAAGGGGAAGAAGAAGAAAAGGAGGAAGAGAAGGAGCCACCTGAGAACTCTTAATAAACAAACCCCCAAAAGATGAAGAAAACAGTCATTAAAAACCAATGGTATTCCTTTAAATTTATTTAAAATACAGTACACATTTAATGGTATATAGTTATTTTTTCAAATATATTACAGTAATGAATTTCTATAAAAACCTATACCAACACTGAAAAATTATTGTCTCTATTATAAGTTTAACTGCATGGTTTAGCTTACTTTTGATGATGGTGATATTATTTCACAAGGATTACAAGGACTGATAAAGATCCACAAAAAAATATGAGACTGTAACTCAGTACCTACATTCAGACAAGGTTTAGGTCACAGCCATGTTTCATCTACCAAAGCTGTAACATCAAAGTAGAAACAGCATGTTCCAATCCATCTCTCATCATTCTGCCTGCTAATTTGCTATGGACAAAGACATACTTTCATAATCTGACAAAATCTGAATAACAAAAACCAAGAAATTTATGCTGTGGTGAGATAACTATGACGTGGGTTAATTAAATAAAAAACAAATATTATTATAATAGTTCTTTTTGGTGGGAGTACTTTATTGGCCTAGGCAATAGGGACCAAAACAATGAGATTTCTTATTTTGTCTTATTATTTTTGCTTAACATGTAATTTCATAAATATTCCCTCAGGGTCATTATACTTTCAATCATGGCACACACTAGTTTTAAAAGCATGTTAAATTTGGCTTAGGCCTAACAGTCAAAAATGTCCTGAACTAGATAGTACAAGATGATTTTCTCTTAAACACCAGTCTTGGAGGCAATCCAGTCGCGGTAGGAAGTCACTCGCATGTAGACCCCTGGTTTATTGATTTTTCCACATTCAACTCCCCAGCTCACTATTCCAACAAGGTACCAAATATCTCGAGAATTGGGATGAACCAGTGGTCCTCCAGAATCACCCTAAATGAAACAAAGGACATTTATCATTTTGACAATTTTCTTTCAGATACTTCAGTTACAGGAAATGTTAAACCCAGATTCAGTCTGCAACTGGTTGTTGTTTCATGGAGACCTGAGGAGGGTATGTGATGCAAATCCCTGGACCATCCTTATCCCCACCGTGACCCACTGGAATGTATTCTCTGGTATTTACCTGAACCTGAACGTGTTATCTGAAAAGTTCCAAACTCTAATTCTATGAGAGAGCTTTCGGGTGACATGTAGTATTAATGTACTTGAGATTTGGGGTTTCATATCTGAGAAAATTATTCAGAACACTACTCATGAGAGAGATGAAAATGTAGGAAAAATTTGGGAATGGGCTTAAAGTAAAACATTTCTGAGACTGCTCTTTTATTGAGATGTGCTTGAGAGATGGACTGTTATGTTGGATAGCCTGGAATTGCATGTCCGTTTTGCCACTCACTAGGAGTGTGACCATGTACAAAGTACTTAATGTTCCTCTGTCTCGGTTTTCTCATCTATGAAATAAGAATACCTACATTATAAGATCATGATGAGAAATAAAAGAATGGATATTTGTAAAGGACTTAGGAGAGTAGCCAATTCAGAATAAGTTCAACATAAGTGTTGAAATACATCTTATATGTAGAGAAGAATTACTATTGTGCAAAGCGGAGAGGGATACTGACAGGACTGTCAAAGTACCAATCAACTGAAGCATGCAATTATCTCCATCTTGATGATTTTCATTAAAAAAAAATAGCAGTTATTTATATACTATGTGTTCAATATGAATGGTGTCTAAAGTTACCTGGCAGGCGTCAATATTTCCTTCCAAGTACCCAGCACATAACATTGTATCCTTTATCATTCCATTATACACTTCTGGAGCATTACAAGTGTTTGTATCAATAATTTTCACTGGTGCTTTCTGAAGTAACTCTTGGGGTTCACCTACAGAAAGTAAACATCAGCAAAAGAGTGTCTGTGAAACAAAGCAGGATGGAAACTTTCCTTGGTCCTCTGTCAGTAAGACCTATGTTTGTTGCCTCTTAGTATAAAAAAAAGTCCACTCAGTTCCATCAGTCAAACTGATAAAAAAAAAAAAATCTTCAAATAAAATTTAAAACATCTTTCAAATGTGCCTTTCGAAGTCTTCATCTTTCTTCTTGTATCTTTGGACTAGAATCTTCTCAATTAGGTTCTCCAGGTAAGGGAAGTTCTACACCCCAACAGGTTTTCCTGGAATGCTCCAAACCAAGGCAATTTGCAGTCATAACCCCATAAGCAACATTCCCTGAGTGTCCTGGGCATCTGGAGGTAAAAGATGTCTTGGACTCTACCTAGATTGCTCATATTTCTTATTGCATTTTTACCTTGCATAGTATGTTTTCACTGGACTCACCATCAAATGTAACTGCTCCCCATCCTGTAACAACAACTCCTTCACCTGGTGGCACAATCTCTGCGGCTTCAGGAAGACAAACTCGATGTACGTCGTTTGTAAAAACAACTTTTTCAGTGAGTAGTATAACTGCAACATCATCATGATGCTCACCCTTGACGTAGTCTTCATGAATAATAATTTGTTGAACATAATGTTGCATATAGGGGGGTCTTACTATAGTGCCAAAGCTAACAGTATAGTTTTTTGGATTTTCTGACCTAAAGAAACAAAAACAAAAATAAATCAATTTTTTATTTATTTGTAAATAAATAGAAATTCTGCATTCTATAATGAATAGTAGAAATTCTGCATCTACTATACACTTCTTTATGACATTAGTGTTTCTTTTCCCAATAGTTCATTGCAACTTGATGTTTTAATTCATTTTTAAACATTTAAAAAACATTGAGTCTCTACACCATGCATTACATAAGGATAAAGAAATGAAAAAAATGAGGATAAAAAAATGAAAAAAATAACGTATGCTTTTCAAATATATGCTTTAATAAAGTAATAGATGGGAACAAACACAGACAATTACAATAATTGTTTAAATTCTTGAGTGTGTAATTAATGGAACCACTAAACAGAAGGGGTTGAATTTGTGTGCTTAAAGGAAGATTTCTTAGGGAAGGTAGTATTTTGAATAAGACCAAGCCATATTTGCCTAAAAGACCATGAAAATGGAACATTTATAGAAAAAAAGGAGGGGGAGATTGATTTATGGAGTCAGAGAGGTGTGAAATAGGATGCTGCATTTTAGCAACCACAAATTGTTTAAGATCTGAAGAGCAAAGTGATGAAGACAATACTCATAAGAAAATAATAAAATACCAAAAATCATGACCCTTCTCATTTTTTTAATTTTACATGTTATTATTAATTTTTTATTTGTTTTAATTAGTTACACATGCCAGTTCAATGACCTTGATATATCATACATTTGAACCAGATGGGATATAATTTCTCATTTTTCTGAGTATACAGGTTGCGATTTTTATCATGTAATTTTTTCCTTCAACCAGGACCTTTTTTCATGTCTTCAGTAACATTTTTAATGTTTTTATTAGTGCACTATAGTTACACATAGTATTGGGGTTCATTCCATATATCCATGGAATATAATTTGCTTTACTTCAATCCCCAGTACTTCTCCTTTCCCTTTTGTTCTCCTTCAGTTGTTCCTCTTCCTTTATTCTATTGGTCTTCCTTCTATTTATTTATAGGTTTTGTTTTTTTAAATGTGTGCTTTATGGATATACATGAATATGAAATTCACTGTAGTATATTTGTCTGTGTACATGGCATGATCTGGTCAATTTATGAGTTTGGCTTATTTCACTTAGCATAATGTTCTCCAGCTTCATCTATGTACCAGAAAATGCCATAAGACACTTTTGAAGATGAAAAGGAATGCAACTAAGAGTTCAGCAGGTGTAACAGCTACAAACTGGGACTCTTGCAGGGCTGCTCCTCTCCACAGATGAGCAACATGATGAACTTACCGTTGAAAGCAGTGAGCTGCAGTTACCAAATATCTCTCACTGATCAAGGATGCCCCACAGTAGTGTCGGCCATTGAATTTCACACTTGCTTGCCATGGCCATTCTCCTTTTTGAGCAGTGGAACCTCCTTTTATTCTATCATATGTAGCTGACATCCTTGGTCGTCTTCCACAGCCTATCAGAGAGGGTCAGTTTTGTTCCGTTGAGAATAGAAACATAATGTTTGGTTACAAAGCATAGAGTTGTCCTGATATGATTATATCTGACAATGTCTTACACTGATAGGAATAAAATATAATCAGTACAGGAATCATTAGCTATCCCTGGATCACCTGTCTAGCCATCATAACAGTTCCAAGATACTTCAGCACTTGGACAATGTGTAAGATGGGGAGGAAAGTCATAGTTAAGCCCATGGACTTTGTAACCAGACTCCCTTAGTTTGAATTCTGGTCCCACAACTCACAAGCTGGATAAATCTGGGTAATTATTTCACTTCTTTGTATTTGAATTTCCTCACCTCTAAAATGATATAATAAGAATGCTTATCTCTAGCACTGCTATGAAGATTGCATGAATTATTCTATATGAAGACTCAGAATTCTGTCTAGTAAAGAGAAATAACTCTTGACTTATATTTAATATTATCTCTTGTTTAATTTTAAAAGTATTGAACTTACGGTTGTTGATCATCTTTTCAGCTTCAACCTTACTGATTTCTGTAATTGAACAAAAAAATCCATGATTATTTAAGAATTGAGCCTGAGGTAATGGAAAAAGATGGTAGCTCTAGCAGAGAAAAGGTCCAGAAATAATTTGGATTCTCAAGATGAAGAGTCAATAAAAAGGAGAGAACGTTTGTTTATTGGAATTTTTCTCTTTCTATATGTGAATGTATTAGGTGAAAATATCCTCTTCATAGTTCCATACAGGAGACTTCTTTTTTATTTAATTGAAATTATATCTACATCATCTAAAGTGGAAAATTGTGAGTTTTCTATCATAGAAGGAGAGGAAGTCTTCAAAAGTGAATCTAATTTGGGTCTCTATACAAAAATACTTTAAAAAGGGACCTGTCTTATAATGGCTGATCCAGTGTTATTTCTGAAAATTTAGGATACCACAAAAAGAAAACCAAAGCACACCATTACTTATAAAGATTGTTTAAAGCAGTAATATCAGCTTTAGAATGAGAAAGAGTTCCCCTTCCTTCAAATCACCTATAATGTGTCCTTAATAATAACACATTGAAATGAATTAAATGAATTAAATGTCTGATTTAAAATGAAATTCGTTTAAAAATGTATTTAAGATCAGCTTTGTGTCTGGTATGTATGATATGTGTTAGGGACAAAATAATGAAAATAACATTGCTCAGGTATAAAATATAAGCTTACCCATGAGCTTCAGAGAATCAGGATCTGTAGGCAAGGATCCAGAGTGGCTTGTCAGCATCTGACGTAAGACGCTTTCAATTCTTTGTCTTGCAGTTTCTTTCGATGATCTGGAATTCTTGAATACCAGCCATATATGTGCTGTCAGACTGTTGTTATCGGGACTGGAAACAACATTAAAGTTTCGTATGTTGCTAAAAGTAGCATTTCCTTCCTCACTGTCTGATTTTTTTTTTTTTAATCTTAGCTTCCTGGGGCTGGGGATGTGGCTCAAGTGGTAGCATGCTTGCCTGGCATCCATGCGGCCTGGGTTCGATCCTCAGCACCACATACAAACAAAGATGTTGTGTCCACCGAAAACTAAAAAATAAATATTTAAAAATCTCTCTCTCTCTCTCTCTCTAAAAAAAAAGTGGAGGAGAAAGCAGCCACAAAATGATTGGCACAGGAGCTTTCTTCATAGGCTCCCACTTTCATTCCTCCTCAAGACTTTGTTTCCCTCTCTCACTGGATTTTATCTTGTATTTATTTTTCTAGCTATTTCTAGTGTTCTATTTATGCATTTTAAAATGCTTA